AAGGAGGAGGCTGCAATGCTTGGTAAGAAATGTACGCATTATCCTGCCCATGCAATTGTAACCCCTCTGTACAGTATGTTCACAAATAAAATTAAATTAAATTAAAAAAAATAAAAAGAAATTTATTACTTGTAGAAGGCAAGAAGCAGAAAAAATAAATAAATAAAAGGACTGTTTATTGCTATTGCCACTAGTGAGAGTGATTTCCTTAAGTATGAGGATGAGTTTATAACTGCAGAGGCCATTGCTATAATCTTCCTCCTGGTTCATCCTTTTTCTTCTTTAATTCTTGGGAATATATTGCCTTGAGGGAGGAGGGGATTATTCTTTCTTTTTAAAATGTGATTCTTGGCCTATTCCCCTTTGCTTTTATATTCACTTTGTTGCTCCTAGCTGGAATGTATTTGAGAGATTATGTGTGAAAATTGTGAGGACAAATGGTTGATATGGCCATTTAAGACAGAATTAAGAATGTATAAGAAAACTACAAAAAAAATCCATGTTTTAAGTTCTCACCGCGTCTACCCTCAGTTCTGTAATGTTCCCTGTGTATATGTTCTTGTGGGCTTGTGTTTGTCATATTTACTGGTTGAGTTAATTGTAATGATTTTGATCCAGGAAAAAGACCCATCAACAAATTGGAATCTTCTGATCCCTTTAAACTGAATGATCCATTTCAGCCTTTCCAAGGCAATGATAGCCCCAAAGAAAAAGATCCTGACATGTATTCTGATCCATTCACTTCTACTACTACCACTACCAATAAAGAGGCTGACCCAAGCAATTTTGCTAACTTCAGTGCTGTAAGTACTGTGAATGGGCTGTTTGGGGGAAAAATCTTTCCATTTGTAGTCCAAAGAGTTTTCAAAGATTACTTTAGATTCTGCCAAATTTTTATCATTTCAATTAAATTTATCTCTTTCATTTTTCCCCCAAGCAAAACCTCTGTTTGATTCTATTTCGATGGTTCTAAAATTCTTCCATTGTACAAATGGTTTCAGTAGCCTTAGTTCTTAGGATATATACAAGTTGTTTTGTAAACTCATCTGTTAGTCTTGGTAATAAAAATTATAAATCTTGACAGTCATTATTTTGCAGGTAGTTAAGTGTGATGGTGATTTTTCTATTTGCCCACTGGATGAATATCATGCCAGTAATGAGCTTGTATATTTGTTAGCTGTATGTGTGTGTTTGTGTATAAAGTTTTCATGATTTCTAAAGACCAATCAGCAACTACTGTCTGATAAGATGGGCCCAGGGATTTTTTGAGTAGAAAACAGAACTCTGTTCACTACATTCATACAGTAAGTACTTTTTGTTTTTGTTTTTTGGCACTGGTGATGGAACCTAGTTCCTCACACAATTCTATGCCTATTGTACCATTGAGCTACACCTCCACTCCATAGTAACTTTTCAAAAGTGCTACACTGACAGTGTATAAGCTATTATCAAGATCTGAACAAACTTTATCTAGAGGACTGTAGTTCACCAGTAACCCATATTTACTCAGCATTTTCTAAAATAGAAAAACCATTAGAAACCCATGGAAAGATACTGTGATATAAGCGTAGCTCAGAGCCCTTAAGAAAGGTATAGAAATGGGGCAACCACTTTGGAGGCATCATCATTAGATAAAACTGTCCTCCTTTTTTTTTTTTTGGCTGGTCATGGGGCCTGAACTCTGGGCCTGGGCGCTGTCCCTCAGTTCTTCAGCTCAAGGCTAGCGCTTTACCACTAGAGCCACAGCACCACTTCCGGCTTTCTCTGCTTATGTGGTGCTGAAGAATCGAACCCAGGGCCTCATGCATGCAAGGCAAGCGCTCTACCACTGAGCCACCTTCCTAGCCCTGTCCTTTTTTTTTTTTGTACGGGGGTTTGAAAGCAGGGCTTCCCACTAGCTAGTCAGGCACTCTACTGCCACACCTCCAGCAAGTTGTATTTTTTGAGTTAAGATTCTTAGAGTAGCTAACAAAGTTTCATTTGCTCAGAATTTTTTTTTTTTTTTTTTGCCAGTCATGGTGCCTGAATTCTGGGCCTGGGCACTGTCCCTCAGCTTTTCAGCTCAAGGCTAGTGCTCTACCACTTGAGCCACAGCACCACTTCCAGCTTTTTTTGCTTATGTGGTGCTGAGGAATCGAACCCAGGGCCTCAGGCATGCAAGGCAAGCGCTCTACCACTGAGCCACCTTCCCAGCCCCCTAGGTGATTATTTTTAAATGTTTACTTTCATAGGCTTTGTATCCATAGACTGCATTAATCTTTTAAGTTAAACCATAGCTTAATAAGTTGTTAAAACTAAAAATGTGCTTTCAGAAAAAGTGAAAAAAGTTACGATTATTTCTAGCGTCTTTCAGGTGGACTAAATAGTTAAAGCTCTTTTTCAAAAACTTTTTCCTTCTTTGTATTTGTTTTACTTATCCATATGTTCATTTGTTCATTCATTTGATCTTTTAAATGACAGTATCCCTCTGAAGAAGATATGATTGAATGGGCCAAGAGGGAAAGTGAGAGAGAAGAAGAGCAGAGGCTTGCCCGGCTGAATCAGCAAGAGCAAGAAGACTTAGAACTGGCTATTGCACTCAGCAAATCTGAAATATCAGAAGCATGAAGAATTCTCTTGTCTTTTGTCAACAACACGCTTTTCTTCTACTTAAATACTGAAACTATTTACCATGTGTATCAAAACTACCTATGAGCATGGGAATACAAAGGTTTTGAGAATCCTGTAAATGTGACAAAAGTCTACTTTTTCTTTCTTCTATATTTCACATCTGTCTTTTATTTTACTTTTTCCATCAAAAGCAGTAACCTAATCAGACAGCTTCACCTAGGCCCCTGTTCTGGTGTGCATTTATTGTGAGCTTTTGACTGCCTGTGCTACTTTTACTTATAAAGCTAGAACACCCAACCATCTACTTTCTGGAACATAGAGAAATAGTTTAACCCTATGCTACCCTTGTTCTATAGTTATTCTGATGATAGCCAGAAGATATCTTAATGTTTTCAGTATTTTTCCTGGATTTAAATGGTTGGAGGGGAAGGGAAAGAAGATCCTATTTCTTTTATGATTGGTGCAAATTGCCCAAAATACATTTTTTATTTCCTTATAGTAAAAGTACTGTTTAATTGGAGTTTTTAAAGATAAGAAAGACAATATGTTTTGCATTGTTTAACTCCAGTATTGGAAAGGGGTTGCATTAGTTTGAACCATTATAGCTTGAGACTCACATTTTCACTAAATGAAAACATTAAAGCCACATATATGAAATACATTTTGAAAACAATTTTCTCTAGACTTAAAGAATTTTAGATCAACTGATACCTCTCTGTATGTGTGCTAATTAACAAAATCAGTTTCTTATGAGAACAATTTACAGGGAAATGTTCATTTTACATGCCTGACAGTGGAGAAAATTTGTCTCTTAAAATACACCATCAGTATGTGTAAGCAGAAATCTTAACATGCAGCCCTTATTCTTGAACTGTGTTCTCTAGCTCATGATAAGTTTGTTCTTGAACTTTGCACAAGAAATTCTAGAAAGCTGGAACTGGAAGGTACTTCATTTTTCATATATATTTGTTTTGTTTTGTTTTCCTTAATGAAGGCTCAGCTACTTGAAAAAACTTCCACTTAATATAAATGGGGAAAGTGGCATGTATTATATTGTATTTTGTGTACCTTGTGGTTTAGTTTTACCTACTCTCTTCATGTTTTTCACCTATAAAATTGGCAAACTAACAAAAAAAATATTTTTAATTGGGGGATTAAAAAAGTACTCTGCTTGTATTAAAAGCTCATTTTCTATAAAAGTGACCTAGTAGACAAGCTGAATTTGAAATAGAGTGAAGGAGGCTGTAATTTATAATCTTTTTTTAACCTGCATTACTGATTTAGTGTATTGAATAGCAAGACAAAGAAAAATGCACCTGAAAACTTAACTAAAATCCTCTGGGATCACCAAGTTAAAGAAGTATTGACATATATTAATCAGAATAACTTACTTGGCCTATAAATAAATTCCAAAATACCTAATACATTTCATCTTGAAATGGTGCTTTTTTTCTTTCCACACACTATTGGACAACTGGGGTTTAAAACAAAATTTAAATCACTTTCTTGCACTGCTAACTTTTTTCTACTTATGTAAATAGAAACATTGCAGCATAAATGTGATACATACGAAGCAAGGGCTGAATAGTAATCACAAGGCTATAACTTTGATAAACTAATACAGTGATATGGATTTACTGCAAAAGTTGATTGAGACGGTAGTATGGAGAGATGTGATGAGTGTGGTTTTTGGGGTTTCTTTTTCCTTCCCCTTTACTCTTCAGGAAAAAGGTAAGTTGACTTGAACAACCTTCTTTTGCACTGGGAAAAATGAACAAATGTTTGAAATGCTTTTAAAATATTTTTTAATTAAAAAAGCACTCTGGAAAATAGTAAATATCTGTAACTTATAAACACCAACTTTCAATGTAATAATTGTATCCTAATCTTATGTGTGTTTAACTGGATTATATAGATTCTTATCATTTGTTAAAATATGCATACTAAGTGGACCAATATAATATTAAAGTATGTATTATCTAAATATATCTGTATCTCCATGCTGACTGTGCAGGATGGATGTGTTAAGTCATTTGTGGTATATTATGGTGTTGACCCTGGCTCCAGGGCCTGTGCTTGAAAAGAACAAATAAGTAATACCAAGATGTAAGTGACATTACTTACAAAGTTTTAACTGTCTTCTACATACTAGTTCATAGAATTTTCTCTTATATTTCAAACTCCTGCAGTATATTTAGGCTATAATTATGAGAGTTATAAACTTTATATAATAAAGCATTCTATCCATTATCCAGTTTACATTGGATCTTTGCACAGTTCTCTATGTGTACTATATGAGGAAAGATAAATGTACAGTCAGTCTACACTAATATGTGTAAAGAATTTCAGAGAATATCTTACATTGGATATACACTCAATAAATAGGCACTATCAATTTTAGGGGTTTTTTGGTCCTGTTTTGTGAAAGAAAGGAAATGTATATGCACAGAGACAGTACTCTAAACATAGGTGGTTTTGTATGGGGCTTGGGGTTTTTTTTGTTTTTGTGCTGGTGGTGGGGCTTGAACTCAGGACCTCTGTACTGTTTCTGAGCTGTTTTGCTCAAAGCTAGTGTTCTGCCGCTTGAGACATATCTCTACTTTTGACTTTTTGCTGGTTAATTGGAGATGAGAGTCTCACAGACTCTTATGGCTGGCTTTGAACTGTAATACTCAGATTTCAGCCTCCTGAGTAGCTAGGGTTACAGACATGAGCCAACAACAGCCCAGCTGTGTGTAATACCTTTTAAAACCCTCTAATTCACTATCCTATTCTTACGAGTTGCTGAAAGAGGAAATTCAGCTAGTTATTAATATTGTCCTATAAGTATATGACAGAAAAGGCCATCCTTTTATTAAATAAATAAAAATTTTAAATTGTAAAGATAAAATATATATATATATATAAGGCTAGCAAAATTGAAAAGTTCTCCATCAGTATTGACAAGGCTATGAAAAGAAGACATAGAAAAGGAGGGAGAGCCAGTCATCAGCGGCTTACCCCTGTAATCCTTGCTAGGAAGCTGAGATCTGAGAATCGCAATTCAAAGCCAGCCCAGGCAGGAAAGTCCATGAGACCCTTATCTCCAGTTAACCACCAGAAAACCAGAAAGTGGCACTGTGGCTCAAGTGGTAGAGAGCTTGCCTTGAGCTGAAGAGCTCAGGGACAGTGTGCAGGCCTGGAGTTCAAGCCCCACAACCAACAACAACAAAAACAAAAAAGACAAAAACTAGTTTTAAGTAACTTGGTGGAACCAGAATTTAGGCTATGAGTGAAAGAATGAGTTGTTAATGTTTGTGTATAAGAAAGATCTTGTGATATTTTGGCATATTAGAGGGTTTTTTTGGAGAAAAAAAGTAGATAAAGCAGGGATTGCAGGTGGAAAACTGTTGGGAGTCTTCATTTGACGTATAATAACTTAAAATGTAATTATGGCCAAAACTGAGAGAATGGGAGTGGTTTGAGAATGATTTAGACTAGGTCTTAGGGTCTACATAGGTGTAGATGATAGGAAGAAAGGAATACTTCTCAAATTTTAGCAAATAGGATTATTTGGTAGATTTACTAAAAACACAGATTGCTAAGCCTCACTTCTGAAGTTTCTGATTTTTTTAATTTTTTATTGTTAGTGTAAAAGGTGATATTTAGCCAGGAGCTGATGGCTCACACCTGTAATCCTAGCTACTCAGGAGGCTGAGATCTGAGGCTTGCCATTCAAAGCCAGCCTAGGCAGGAAAGTCCATGAGACTCTTATCTCCAATAAACCACCAGAAAACTGGAAGAGGCACTGTGGCTCAACTGGTAGAGCACTTGCCTTGAGCTAAATAGCTGAGGGACAGCACCCAGGCCCCAAGTTCAAACCCTGTGACCAACAACAACAACAAAAAAGTGGTGTACAAAAGGAGTTACTGTTACATAGGTCAGGTTAAGAGTACATTTCTTTTTTTTTTTGGATCCAGTCGTGGGGCCTGAACTCTGGGTCTGGGTGCCGTCCCTCAGCTCTTCAGCTCAAATCTAGCTCTCTGCCACTTGACCCACAGCGCCACTTCCGGCTTTTTTCTTTTTGCTTATGTGGTGCTGAGGAATCGAACCCAGGGCCTCATGCATGCAAGGCAAGTGCTCTACCACTGAGCCACCTTCCCAGCCCCAGGAGTACATTTCTTATTGGACAATGTCACCCCTTCCCTCACTTGTTTCTGATTCTTTAGATCTAGAGTGTGACCCAAGAATTTACTTTTCTAAGAAGTTCCAAGGTGATAGTGGCCTAGGAAAAAAGTTTTAAAAGAATAGAAGAGAGCAAGGCACTGGTGGCTCATGCCTGTAATCCTAACTACTCAGGAGGTTGAAATCTGAAGATTACAGTTCAAAGCCAGCCCAGTTAACCACCAGAATACCGGAAGTGGCACTGTAGTTCAATGGTACAGTGCTAGCCTTGAGTGAAAGAGCTCGGACAGCACCCAGGACCAACACAAATACACACCATACACTTTTCACATGCATGGATCTACAATGTACTTGTTGCTCTCAGAAAGCTTGTATTATCTAAAGTTATAAATGCACAGGGAGAAAATCATGGTCGATATGTTAACCTTTGCTAAGGCCTATTGTGTGCCAGGCCTGGGTCTTAGAATTTGACATATGAGTGCCTTGTCATCAGTAGTAGTATGGTCAAAGAAAAAGATATTGACCTAAACTTAGATGTGCAACATGACATACTGAAAATTATCATAGGGGTGCTGGGTCACCCAGAAGAGGGAGAGTATAGGAATGTCTCTAGTTGAAAGGATTGAGAAACGTTCCCCCATAGATTTCTCCAGGACACAGTATTCTCCTGTTACAAGCATTAGTAAAATTTGCATGCATGGTGACTGTTAAAAATGTGTGTTCAGCTATCACAACCACTGTGGTTGATGTGTGTGAAAAGGCCAGCAGCCTCCCAAGATACCTCCTTTAAGAGACATTCATCACTTTAGTGCATTCAACCTAGTCCAAGGGCTAACCTTAGTTTAGAAACTTGATTTCCATCAACAAAAAGACAGCTGTCATTAAGCAAGTTCAGAGATTAATGTAGATCAGAATGTCACTTTCCAGTAAAAAGTTGTTACAGGCCTTTGAAGTGCCCACGGTAGGTTGAACATGACTCCCTCTTCCTTATTAGAGTTTGGATTCCTTCTGCCTCAGGCTTCTGAAGCTCATCCTGGTTTCAGCAGTCAGAGCTGCCTGGATTGTGGGCACGTTTTGTTAGATGGATGTATTTAATCAGGTTAGAGTCTCCTTGGACTGGTTATATAGCTGTATGTCTCTTTGAGGTGGCTTTGCATATCTTTGACTTGGATATAAACTTTTCAGTATGTGTCATTTCAAAATTCATTAAATAGTTTGTTATTGGATATATACTGAATCACAAGACAAAATGTCTGAAGGCCACTAATTTTTTAAATCTTTTCAAACAAAAAACAACCAGGTTCTGTGATTAGATATCCAGTTGCATGATACAAAAGATTTTTGAGATGGTTGCTGTGGCATGTGCTTGTAGTCCTAGTTCCTGGGCGAAATTGATGCAGGAGGATCATTCGAGTTTGAGGTGAGCTTGGGCAACATGTAAGACCACACATCTGAATGAATGAATGAGAAAAGGAGAAGGAAAGAAGGGGAGAATGAAAAAAGAAAGGAAAAGAAGAAAGCCAAGCACTAGTAGCTCTGCCTGTAACCCTAGCTGCTCAGGAGGCTGAGATCTCAGAATCATGGTTTCAAAGCCAATCAGGGAAGAAAGGAAGGTCCATGAGACTAACCACCAAAAAGCCAGAAATGGAGCTGTGGCTCAAGTGTTAGAGCACTAGCCTTGAGGGAAAAAATGGCCCAGGAACAGTGCCCAGACCTTGAGTTCAAGCCCCAAGACTGGCACCAGAAAAGAAAAAAGAATTTCTGGGCTACCATTTCCTAGCTGGGTGGCTTAGTCACAGTAACACTTGCTTCACAGGGCTGAGGATTAAAGGTGGTAGATAGCAAGTCTGTGGTTCCCATTATAAAGCAGATACTCATTAGAGCTGTAGTACCCATTTTTAAAGACAATACATCTTTGGAGAGTGTTTCTCTATGAATAAAGAGAATGGCATTACTTTCAAAAAAGTAATTCATGTAGACCACTTCATTTTCCTCTTATCCTGGGTAAAAGATCAATGAAGGAGGAGTGCCTATCACACACAATATCCAGAAATATTGTTTGTTTTGCCTTACCTCATTTAATCCTTACAGCAATGTTTGCAAAAGGTACTCTTACTGCCCTCTTTTCACTGATAAGAACATAGGGACACAGACATTACTTTCCTGAAGTAAATTTAGCCCAGCAAGTGGAGAGTGCCAAGATTCTAGCCTAGGCATTGTGGCTGCAGAGCAAGGGACCAGAAATGTAACCTGTTTCACTTTGGGTTGTTAATATATACAAAATAAGTGCTGGCAATGTGGCTCAGTGTAGAGTGCTTGCCTTGCATGCATGAGGCCCTGGGTTCAATTCCTTAGCACCACATAAGCAAAAAGAAAAAAGCTGGGAGTGGTACTGTGGCTCAAGTGTGACTTGATCTTAGCATAGTTCAGATTCTCTGAGGGTGTGTGTGTGTGTGTGTGTGTGTGTGTGTATTGCTCAGGCTGGACTTGAACTCTTAAGCAAGAGTTTTTTATTTTATATATTTTTTGGTCAGTCTTGGGACCTATTTATTTTTTGGTCAGTCTTGGGCCTGGGCGCTGTCCCTCAGCTCTTCAGCTCAAGGCTAACGCTCTACCACTTGAGCCACAGCGCCACTTCTGGCTTTTTCTGCTTATGTGGTGCCAAGGAATCAAACTCAGGGCCTCATGTATGCAAGGCAAGCACTCTACCACTGGGCCACCTTCCCAGCCACAAGAGTTGTTTTAAACCAGAGGTAGCATATACAAAGACCCTTACCATAGTCCCTGCTGCTGAGTAGGTACCTGCTAGATAATCAGTTCTTTCAGTTAAAGTGATGCTCTCTGTACATCTAGTTAGAAATCTGAAAAATAGGACTAATAGTTTCAAAATACATAATGTTAACTTCTGTGAGAAAAGATGAAGCCTCTGAAGGAGAGACTTCCTGAGATACTAGAAGGTTTCTTGGAGAAAGTACTGTTGGCTAGGTGGAATTTCCATCAGTAGATTGGACTGGGCCTATAGGAGACCAGGCTTATGGGACTGTGTTATGAGTGGTCTTTTCTGTGAGCTCAGGAGAACAATGTCACCAAGCTGGACATGACTGAGGGGTTTGGGTCTATGGGTACTCTAACTGGAATTTCCAGATCTAGAAGTGCGAGCTTTGTGATCAGATAGGCAACATTCTCTGGCCCTTGTTGACTTGCCTGTACCATGACGTGTGCTCAGAGAA